ATCTAAACAAATCAGGAGATGAATGTTGGAAGGAAGAGATATTGAATTATATCCCTTGAACTGAGCAAGAACTTTCAGACCAAAAAACTAAGCAGGCAACTCCATAAAGAGTAATTGTGAAGTTTATTGTGGGTAACTTACATACGGGTAGGAAGGATCAGGTGGAGATGATCCAGAAGCATTCATAGCCGAACGCTGCCTCTGAAAAGGATAAGGAGGATTTAAAGGGACCAAAGCTAAAAATAGAATCTGACTATTTGGGAGAAGTGTGGTTGGTCCACACTGACAGGAACCCCTGTTTTTCCTCCCTGCCATTCCCTGAGGGGTCTCATGACTGTTAACTACCTGCCTCAGCAAAAGGCATTCTTCCAGTTTTCATATCAGTTGAAGACAAGGGTAAGCTGATAGAGAACTATTAACTATCTGCGTCAGCAAAGGCATTCTTCCAGTTTTCATATCAGATGAAGACAAAGGTAAAAGCTGGCTTGGGCGCATTCCTTGTGAGTAGGCTAAAGTACAGTCATGCAGAAAGGGAAGGGGTAGGACTGCAGACCTAAGATGGAGTTGACAAAATGGAGTCAGTGTGGTTCAGCCACACAGTTGAGAACAATTCCACCAGAAGCACATGGGCCAAGTGTGGGGAAAGGGATGGTCCTCCAGAGGCAAATTAGGGTGGGATCACCATTAGAAGGATAAATGGGTACTTTATCAGGAGCGCCAGAGATCCATGCAGATGTGTAACTATGTATACATTTGTACTGCTTAGAATTATGAACAAAGCACTTGGACTATACGATACGTCTATCTGAAACTGCCTGGCTGAGGTCACACAGATAGCATGTTGGTGCTAACCTTGGAATAAGATTCAACTAGTTGAATGACGTATAGCTCATATAGCCAGTCTCCAAGAAAGGAATCTCTGAGACTGTCAGGGAGCTTAAAGAAGCCAGTTTTAGTATCATTGGCTCTTAAACTGGCAGAGCTAAAAGGGACCCTGCTGATCATCAACTCTCTCACCTCTCAGAGGAGATGGAAATCTAGATAAGCCATATAACTTGCTTGAGATCACAGCCAAGTTTGTGTGACCTAGAAAATTGATCATCCATCTTCCAGCCTAACACTCTTTTTAGTAATAACTACCTGCTATAATAATAGCAGCTACTATTTATTGTTTGCTCTGTATTAGGCAGTAGACAGGCATTTCACATGCAGTATCTCATTTAATCTTTACAACTGTTTTATTCTCAATTTATTGGAAATTGAGGCACAGAGGGGCTTTGTGTAACTACCTTCAGAAGCTTCAATTATCCATTTTTTGCCTTGGTGTTTTAGACTGCAAACAGCCTTCTTTCTTCCAAGATAGGTCAGTGCTGATTTACAGCTTTATCTTGGGTATAGAAAATGGAGTGAGTGAAGAATGACCTGGTCAGAAAACCTGTTATATGTGCTCATAGACTTGACTAGGGTTTGGGTTCATAATAAGTAAATTTAAATCTTATTTTTTACTTTTTTAAAAAATTTATTATTTTTTAACATCTTTATTGGAGTATAATTGCTCTACGATGGGATGTTTCTTTCTACTTTATAACAAAGTGAATCAGCCATACATATACATATATCCCCATATCTCCTCCCTCTTGCGTCTCCCTCCCACCCTCCCAATCCCACCCCTCTAGGTGGTCACAAAGCACCGGGCTCATCTCCCTGTGCTATGTGGCTGCTTCCCACTAGCTATCGATTTTACATTTGGTAGTGTGTGTATGTCAATGCCACCCTCTCACTTCGTCCCAGCTTACCCTTGCCCCTCCCCGTGTCCTCAGGTCCATTCTCTACGTCTGCATATTTATTCCTGTCCTGCCCCTAGGTTCTTCATAACCTTTTTTTTTTTTTAGATTCCATATATATGTGTTAGCATATTTGTTTTTCTCTTTGTGACTTACTTCACTCTGTATGACAGACTCTAGGTCCATCCACCTCACTACAAATAACTCAATTTCGTTTCTTTTTATGGCTGAATAATATTCCATTGTATATATGTGTCACATCATCTTTATCCATTCATCTGTTGATGGACACTTAGGTTGCTTCCATGTCCTGGCTCTTGTAAATAGAGCTGCAGTGAACATTGTGGTACATGACTCTTTTTGAATTATGGTTTTCTCAGGGTATATGCCCAGTAGTGGGATTGCTAGGTCATATGGTAGTTCTATTTTTAGTTTTTTTTTCTTGTGTTATGTAAATTATATCTCAACGTACAGTAAGCAAGCATTTAAAATAAAATGCTACTTCCTTCTGGCCTCTGTTGTTTCAGATGAGAAATCCACTGTCTTTACAAGTGGAGTTCCTCTCTAGATTATGTGTTTTCTCTCTGACTGCTTTTAAGATTTGTTTTTGTTTGTTTTTACTTCTCTGAAGTTTAATTACAGTGTGTATTGGCATGGATTTCTTTGGTTTATCGTGTTGCTTATTTGCTCGGGTTCTTCAATCTGTAGGGTTTTGTCCTTTACCAAATTTGGGAAGTTTTATCCATTATTTCCTTGAATAGTCTCTCAGTCCCACTTTCTTTGTACTTTATTCTGAAACTCTGATAATACAAATAATGAATTATCTGTTTTTGTTCTACAGGGCCATGAGGCTCTGATTGTTGTCGATGTGTAACTTGACTGAGCACAGTGACCAGAATGTGATCAAGCATTATTCTGATGTTTCTGTGAGGTGGTTTTGGATAAGATTTACATTTAAATCAGTGGACTTTGAGTAAGGCAGATTGCCCTCCACCATGTGCATGGGACTCACCCAATCAGATGAAGGCCTGAATAGAATAAAAGACTGACTTCCCCTGAGCAAGAGGGAATTCTTCAGCAGATGACCTTCAGACTTGAACTGCAACATTGGCTTTTCCTGTGTCTTCCAGCCTACCCTGCAGCATAGGGACTTGAGTAGAATACTACTTTTGTTTATCATTCATCACTTGATGAACATTTAAGCTGTTCAAACTTGTGTTTTCTAATTTATTATGTGATTCCTTTTTCTCGCAAAACTCTGAGATTCTATCATTTTTCTTCATTATTTGTTTTTCTGCTCCTCAGAGCAGATAATCTCTATGGAATCTGTATCTTTAAGTTCATTGATTTGTGTTTGTTTAACATCTTTATTGGAGTATAATTGCTTTACAGTGGTGTGTTAGTTTCTGCTTTATAAGAAGGTGAATCAGCTATACATATATATATATCCCCATATCTCCTCCTCTTGCATCTCCCTCCCACCCTCCCTATCCCACCCCTCTAGGTGGTCACAAAGCACCGAGCTGATCTCCCTATGCTATGCGGCTGCTTCCCACTAGCTATCAGTTTTACATTTGGTAGTGTATATGTGTCCATGCCACTCTCACTTCTTCCCAGCTCACCCTTCCCCCTCCCTATGTCCTCAAGTCCATTCTCTACATCTGCGTCTTTATTCCTGTCCTGCCTCTAGGTTCTTCATAACCTTTTTTTTTTTTTTTTAGATTCCATATATATGTGTTAACATACAGTATTTGTTTTTCTCTTTCTGACTTACTTCACTCTGTATGACAGACTCTAGGTCCATCCACCTCACTACAAATAACTCAATTTCAGTTCTTTTTATGGCTGAGTAACATTCCATTATATGTATATGTGCCACATCTTCTTTATCCATTCATCTGTCAGTGGACACTTAGGTTGCTTCCATGTCCTGGCTATTGTAAATAGAGCTGCGATGAACATTGTGGTACATGACTCTTTTTGAATTATGGTTTTCTCATGGTATATGCCCAGTAGTGGGATTGCTGGGCTGTATAGTAGTTCTATCTTTAGTTTTTTAAGGAACCTCCATACTGTTCTCCATAATGGCTGTATCAATTACATTCCCACCAACAGTGCAAGAGGGTTCCCTTTTCTCCACACCCTCTCCAGCATTTATTGTTTGTAGATTTTTTGATGATGGCCATTCTGACCAGTGTGAGGTGATACCTCATTGTAATTTTGATTTGCATTTCTCTAATGATTAGTGATGTTGAGCATCCTTTCATGTGTTTGTTGGCAATCTGTATATCTTCTTTGGAGAAATATCTATTTAGGTCTTCTGCCCATTTTTGGATTGGGTTGTTTGTTTGTTGATATTGAGCCGCATGAGCTGCTTGTAAATTTTGGAGATTAATCCTTTGTCAGTTCCTTTGTTTGTAAATATTTTCTCTTGTTCTGAGGGTTGCCTTTTCGTCTTTTTTATTGTTTCCTTTGCTGTGCAAAAGCTTTTAAGTTTCATTAGTTCCCATTTGTTTATTTCTGTTTTTATTTCCATTTCTCTAGGAGGTGGGTCAAAAAGGATCTTGCTGTGATTTATGTCATAGCGTGTTCTGCCTATGTTTTCCTCTAAGAGTTTTATAGTGTCTGGCCTTACATTTAGGTCTTTAATCCATTTTGAGTTTATTTTTGTGTATGGTGTTAGGGAGTGTTCTAATTTCATTCTTTTACATGTAGCTCTCCAGTTTTCCCAGCACCACTTACTGAAGAGGCTGTCTTTTCTCCACTGTAAATTCTTGCCTCCTTTATCAAAAATAAGGTGACCATACGTGCATGGGTTTGTCTCTGGGTTTTCTATCCTGTTCCATTGATCTATATTTCTATTTTTGTGCCAGTACCATACTGTCTTGATTACTGTAACTGTATAGTATAGTCTGAAGTCGGGGAGCCTGATTCCTCCAGCTCCATTTTTCTTTCTCAAGATTGCTTTGGCTGTACGGGGTCTTTTGTGTTTCTATACAAATTGTGAATTTTTTTGTTCTAATTCTGTGAAAAATGCCATTGGTAGTTTGATAGGGATTGCATTGAATCTGTAGATTGCTTTGGGTAGTATAGTCATTTTCACAGTGTTGATTCTTCCAATCCAAGAACATGGTATATCTCTCCATCTGTTTGTATCATCTTTAAATCTTATTTTTTAAAAGACAGTTTTTAATTTGTTGACTCTTCTTTAAACAGGAACTTCCAAAGGGTCAATGAAAAGCATCCCACATTATCTTCAAATAAATGAAATACTGTTAATCAGCGATCAAGAATTTCTCCCATGCCATATAATGGATGAGCATTGGAAGTTCTATGTGGAATGTGAGGAGCTAACATTCTAAAGCCTTGTTTTCTTAATAATTTATTAGGTATTTGTTCATATTATTAACCAATGTTCATATTTTGTTGTGTGTGGGCTGGTGGGCCTGTTTAATACACACTTTATGAGTTACTACTTAAGATGTGTTTACTGTTTTAAGAAAAAATATAACTCTTCAACTATTGTAGTAAGATTAATAGTTTTTGGCCATTAAAATAAAGACATTTTTGACATAAACAATATTGACTCTCTGGCTTTCTTTTTACTAAAATAAACTTCAAACAAATCTTTAAATCAACACCTCTACCTTTGCATAAATAACTGTTGTTCCTTATAGGAAGTAAGAACACAAATAGGAGTGACTATTGGTCCTGAAAAGTCCCTGGTAAAGTAAATCTACTTAAAAAATAGAACTTAAAGTCCCACTACCTTCCCCCATTTATTTTGGAATTTATGTTGAAATCAAAATGTAAAATTATGAAAGCGGTTTGTCTTAAGTGTCACAAAATTTAGTGTAGATAGAATTGTAGCTGTGCTAAGTCTGAGAACAAAAAATGAATCAAGTGTTGATTCGGGGGCTGATTATTTTAAATAGGATATATTTCAGCTTTAACGTTTGCTACACTGTCATGAAGATTTTTTTGAAAAGAGCTATATTCAAGAGCTTTATAAGTTTTTATAAGCTTTCTTTATACGGGTCTGTCTTAATCCTTTGATAGCCATCTTATTCTTATCTGTCATTACCCCAGGCTCCCAAATACGCTTTTTAACTCTGTGGCCTAATTCTGTCACTCCTCTCTCATTTGGGTAGACAGGTCAAAATTGCAATAAAAATTACCCTAGCAAGTACTAGAACTTGAGGGGGGGATGGGGAGGAGCGATATGGTGTTGCTTTTTGATATTTTCTTATTTTGAATACACAAGAAACTTGTCAACAGTTGCTTGTGGAGAGAAGAATTATGGGACTGGGGAACTAAGGGGAAAGGAAGACTTTTAACTACATGCACCCTTTGGCAACTTTGAAATTGGTACTCTGTGTTTATTCTTTGTATTCAGATAAAATTTTTAAATATCTGCAAAGATAGCACCTGAAAATGTTTGCCTATTCATAAAAGTGTAAAGACAGATCATTTTATTTTTCTTCCTTTGAGAGTCCATTGAAAATGTTAAGGATAAAGTGAACCCTACATGTTGTAATGTTTGAGAACTGACAAGAATTTTATTGTTCCATTATCATTTTCTTAGACTACCCTATTTTTCTAATTTTTGAATAATATACCTGAGGTGGTCTATTTGGCTTTCATTACTTAAGGAGATATTTAAAACATGGGCCATTTGGGAATATATGTACTAACATGGGAAATATATACAATATATATAAGTATACAATATACTTATATATATTTATTATATATAAGTAACTGAAAAATGCAAATTGTTAGACAGTATTTAGTACAAATCCTGGTTGTGTTAAATAAAAATTATATGCCTTTCTGCCTCTGTGGGAGGGAAGTTTGGGGGAGAATGGATACATGTATATGTACGGCTGAGTCCCTTTGCTGTGCACCTGAAACTGTCACAACATTGTCAATCGGCTATACTCCAATATAAAATAAAAAGTTTAAAGAAAATTATATGCCTTTGAGTGCATGTATAATATATATAGCCATATAAATATACATATTTTTATATTATGCGTGGTATATCTACTTTATAAGCTATGAAATGTGTATTTGTATGTATAAGTATGTGTGTGGTGTGGGAGATGTCAAGTAAAAGGTCTGGAATGCTACAAATAAAATTGCAGTGCCTGTCCCTAAGGGACTGGGGAAGTTGGAAGGATATATTACACTTTACTTTCAACTTAAAAAAAAAGCCATGCACACATTTCTTTTGTAATTTAAAAATATTTTTTTAAAAATAACTTAAAAGCAGGTATTTTGTTTAGTGATTACAGTTTACAAAAGTCATACATTCTAAGTTTATAGTATAAGAAATCTTGCAATTCTGAGTTTTCATTTTAGTGATCGAATTCTTAAACTTAGTTTTCCAAGCCCATTTAACATTAAGTATACCAACTGGCAACTGACTTAACACCTAGTGGAGGCATGTTGAGTATTGCCCAAACTAAACAAAAGGGTCTACTTCAAGCAGGGTTGGGGTCCGGAGAGCTACCTTACCTCAGATCTTCCCTGTGAGATGACTGGGTGATTTGGGGTACTGGCTAGATGTTTTGCCTATTCTGTGTTCTAAATGAAACAAGCTTCTGGACCCTAAGCCATACAAAGGACTTCCAAGAATATCTAATAATGCAATCTTCTCTGATATTTGTATCCTTTCTATAAAACTAAGTTCCTGAATATCTCCAGGATACTCCATACCCAACAAGGAATCCTATTCCCTTTCAGACAGGTACTCCTAAATATTAGAAAGCTGGAACCCCAATGTCCCAGGACTCACAACACTTCCTTTTTTTTTTTTTTTTTTTTTTTGGGT